TGTTAGGATGGTATAGATTAAATCCTATGGAAACAAGTTATAAATCTGAATAGTGAAGTAATTCATTAAAATAAAGTTGTACGTTTTAGGGCCTAATAAGTATTGCATAAAATCCACATAAAAAATATATTTCATCAAAATGTAAGTTTTTGTATTATTTGTAGTTTGTGTTACTTTACTATAGTTGTTGTACATTTAACTTAATATTAATGTACAATGTAATAAAGATAATGAATATGTAACAATCAATAACCACTAAACCATAAAACTAATAAGCGGTGAGCAGGCATTGTATTACAATCTAACAGTGCAGCTGTAGGAAAAAACTTAGAAATGAACATGATAGTTTATTTTAATAAAATTATGGATTAAATGCTATATGCTTATTATTCACAAAAATATTATAATAATGATTAACCTAACTCAATTTGAAATATATACACTGAAAAAATATTTGTTCTCTAATTCCTAAAATACCAACAGTTAAATTTCAGGCATTCGCACTGGCATTATAAATAAACAAACTCTATATTTTTTTCTACAATAAGCTTATGAGCGGAGAATATGGTTAAGACACCTATAAATTTTTTTTAAGAAAATGTAGGCGATTTATTTAAAAGTACATAATAATAAATAAAATGTATTAATCATTATTAATTAAATATACATCCTACCAATAGATAAATTATTTTACTTAATTTTAAATTCTGAACAGAACGAATTAATGCATTGATTTTACAGTGATGTGTATTTTATTTCTGTCAATCATCAGGCATCACCTTTGGAGGCAGTAAAAGTACTTCTAGTTGGAACGTGAATATCTAGTTGGCACTTAAAGGGGTCAAAATTAAGAAATTTAAATTAGTTTACAATTGGGTCGGAAAAACAAAAAAAAATTAGGAAAAAAGAGGATTTCAATATTTTATACAAAGTTTTTTGTATGTTGTTATAATAGCAGTTAAAAAATATTAAATATACACAGGCAAGATTATTAATTCTAAGAATTAAAGTTAAAATTAATCAAGATCACTACAATTTGCAAATTATTTTGCAGTTGAAAATTGATAAAATATTCAACATTTTTTTAACTATTTAGGTATAAATTATTATTATTATTTGTAGTGATGTTTATTTAAAGTGTATAGTATTAAATTGTATTAACTAATTTTATTATCTGCAAGGTAGAAACGCAATTAAAGACTTATAAGTAATTATAAATATGAATTCCTATGTCAAACAGAAATTATTAAGTAGTTTACATTAGTAAAACCATGATTATAAAGAACTCATATACTAACTATATAACTGTGATATTGACAAACAGATTAGTTTTTCAAATAATTCTCCAATTTAAATCAGTTAAGATAAACACAAACAAAAAATTGCAGCAAAGTGAAAATACTTCAATAATTATAAGTTTGATACATACCTATTTGTTCTAAATATTGTTACTGAGAAAACTAAAATTTGAAATTCAGATAATAACTATTAAGGAGATAACAATACTACAAAAAAAAAAATGGTTTTTAATTTCATGATTTGTAAAATAATAAAAAAAAAAGTGATTATTCAACAAGTTAATGAGAGTAGATTAATAGTAACAAGACTTCATAAAGCCGATGAACGCACAGCCACCTATGTTTCACATGCACAAGTTGCTTGATTTACACAATGATCCCAATAACTTACAATAGTATTTTATACTCATAACCAAGGTTTGGGACCTACAGCAATTGCATACTTTTTGTATTTATTGTAAAATGTAGCAGAGTGCGAAATAAATTCATTTCTTAATGCCGTGATACCAAATCTAAAATTTGAATATGCATATTTTTGCATACTTCGTAAATTTTGCCTGAAACTGATTATTTTAACATTATTGTGCTTAATTTGCATATTTTAGACATTTTTTTTCGAAATTTGAAATTCACAAATTTCACCCGATCTAAAAAAGAAAATAGTAATGCCGCTTACTCGCAGTCTTATGTACCTATTTGCTATATACAACTCACAACTCCTTATAATTTTTGCGGTTTAAGAATATTATGATGGCCTGATTGCCCGTATCGTTACATATTATATAATATGTTGCGATATGATAATTTTAATACATTGCAGTTATTAAACGTTCTTTGAAACTAAAGGTACTTCCGGTAAACGTAAAATTAATTATTTATTGATTTAAATGAAAAATTTAATTTTTAATTTTTCCCATCATTATATAGTTAACGAATAAAATTCAAAAAACTCAGAAATTTAAGAAACAAGTTAACAACCAGTAGATTTTTTAAAATTTATTATATTAAGTACACTAATTGTATTTAATAATTATTAATAAAATAATAAATATATTAAATGCATATTTTTAATTTTTTATGCATATTTTAGGGTTTTTAAGTGCATATTTTAGAGCTTATTATTGTGTTTTTAAGTGCTATAGGTCCCAAACCCTGCTCTAACAATATTATCTTGTTATTGTACTACATAAATTTAGTAAAATTCAGTTTACATTATTCCACTGGCACAAACCAAATTTTACTTTTTAAGTTGTGAAGTAAAGTTGTGTTGTAAGTTTTAAAAATGAAAAAACTAGAAAATGGATCAAAATCATAATCACATTAGTGCTTTTAAACACTTAAATGTCATAAATACACTTCAGATTACATAACAAAAATAACAGAAAATATTATCTATAGATTAAAATTGTTGTATTAATCTAGGCACTTTTACATGTAAACCATGAAACTATTATATTATACAGTTTAAAGTCAAATATTTGTTATTTATTATATTATACGTGTGTGTCTGAGTATACCTGACACATTGCAAGTTTATGAAAAATATAGTATACAAATAAAAGAGAGAGAGATCTAATAATCTAATGATTAAATACTATAAAATAAAATCATGTTGGATCAATAATCATGGCCAAACATAGTTAAGTAAAACAATGAACCTTCAACAGATAAACTTAAAATTGAAAAAATCCTTTAAACAAATAGTAAAACTGTTTTAGAATAAAATATTGAAATAACAATAAATTAAAACAAATTAGTTTAAAATTGTGTAAACAATTTAAGAACTAACTTTAAACATTTTATTTGAAGATAAAGTTTTTATATTAGATATTACTTTTTCTTTTAAATAATTAATGCTTTTTATAAATCCATAAAGTATCTACTAATATACATTAATAAGCAATTTATTAAAATTTTTATAAAATTATCCAAAACCTAAGCACAAGTGTTAAAAAAATGTTAAGGTAGGTTATACATATTATCATTTTTACTAAAAATATTATTTAAAATTAGTTTTATTTGCCATATAATGTTAGAAAAACTTGGTCAACAGCCAATAAATGTACCACAATAGCTTAAGACACTAAATAGCTTTTTTCCACTGACCTATTTCATCAATACAATTTTAAGCAAAATTAATAAAGCAATGATAGTGTTATTAACATGTTACCTAAATAGAAACATAAATTGCGGTGCATAATAGATATTATATGAAATTTTAAATGATATTTTTTATGCAAAAATGTTTCAACAGCTAAGTCCTTTAATAGGATTGTAAGATTAATTAATTTAAATTGTAATAGTTTATTACAAAAATTATTGAATTAAGATTAATAAAACATATTTTTTCTACTAATAATATTAATAACTGTAGGTAATTACCAATTTTTCAGCAAGTCATAAATATGTCCTTTGTCATTAATGGTAATAAATAATCCTCTAGGACGACGGAATATCAAACCAAACTTTTGGCATGCTAACCCAACAGTTGGAGTATAAACAATCGGCAGTAGCATATGAATGTTTTCAGATAAAAGTCTAAAGTAAAGCCTTTCATTTCGATCCTGAAAACCAAATTTATAATTATATAAGTAGGTCTAGGCATGAACGAAACAAATTGATTACTTGTAATTCTGCCAAGTATAAGAACTTATTCAAATCTTCTTGATACTTCATGACACTGAATCGACAAACTTCAAGTTGTTCTTCTTGAGTTTTAAACTTAGGTGGCATCAAACCATGTATACCAAGTGCTTGTCGTTCTTCAAGAGTGAAAGCAAGGCCTTTATTCAAACGAGGGTCACGAATATAATCGATTCCTTGAACTAATGAAGGGCAGATAATATCTCCAGGCGTGCGTGAGGGTGATGAAAAATGAAATTTGCGGCATTTTGATCGATCAATACATGAAGAGCTGGCACAGTACAAGGCTAAGTTTCTTGAAGCCAGCGATGTACTAGAGCTATAAAATAAAGGCAAAAATTAGCATAAACATAAAATAATCCAATAAAAAAAGTAGAAATTGTCTAGTTATTGAACAAGATTTATTGGAAAATGAATAATCATTGTCAGAAATTGACTTTACTGGATTTTGGGATATCTTACCATATAGTTTTTGGTAAATAATTCATTTTGATTTATTTGCAGTATTTTTTAGATCGTTTGCATTAGAAGGTATACAAATCTGTATAAACGAAAGTAGTCCAAAGAAAACAATGACTAAAACGAATAGCAGATAAAATAATACTAAAGGATTTAACTATTCATCATATTAGAATAGGATGAATTTAGGTTCTATATATAGTTATAGTGAAAGCACAGTAAAAGTGAGAAAAAATCAAATAAAAATCAATTTGTTATCATTATTATATCATAATCATCTTGGTAGATACCTCGGCTTAAAAAACAGGCTTGCCACCACGATAAGATTATTACGACAAAATGCACGATCGATTTCCGACGATAGACATATAAATATAAAAATGCATATTATATAAATATAGCAATATGTATATTATTCATGTTTCCGACTCACATGAAGACTAGAATTATTAATCTTGTCCTCATGAAGATAAAATGGAAACGACCTGGTCGGCCGGCCGGGTTGGGCACCATAAGGTTCCTCACACTGGGCATTGAATGTTTTTAGCGCTACCGGTGGTTTTATTTGGCGTCACATTTTTTCCGTGTTTTATACATGTTCTGTAATACCACTTATGGTGATACAGATGGCATTGTAAACAACAACTTCTCAATGCCCATTGCGATTTGCAAATAGTTTGCGACCCATCCGCCCCCGCACTTGGCTGTAGCACATTCATAGCCACTGATAAGCTGCTCGTTTCCAGTAAGTAACATCAGCCACGATTGCCCCTTACAAGTGTGTGTGCAGTCTTATACTCTTATCACTGAGCATTTGAGCATACTTCTTAATCCAAATTGCTTTTACTAATGAGTAATAAGTAATTACTATGTATCATGATGAAAATACATTGTAGATTAATAGATCTATACATTTATTTTGTCATGGTATGTCGCATGCACATTTGATTATCTTAGCACTTCCTACTTAGTTATTCGTTCATGGTAGTGGCCAGTGGGTGCTGTTTGGTGTCTTTAGTGTCATTCGAGTTTCGGCAAACCGAATAATCGTATGTACAAACGCTTAAGACCGAAATCTTCGATAGAGATAATGTTTTAATGATGATATCCTGAATTTCAGAACGTTCACGGTTTACTCGGGAATCCTCAGTCATGATCTGCGTTCGCCGATCGAACAAGTTGTACAGTACTGTCGTGGGTAGTAGCAGCCTAAAGCAAACTCCTAGTCGATTTTCATTCCCGGAACGTTTCCGTGGTACGATTGTCGAACGATGGAAACAGTACTGGGAGAGCGTGGCGAAGGATTATTACGAGTCAACAGTGGGCATTGGAACGTATGCGAGAGCCAATCCGATAAAAAGCTCGTTGGCGGCGGTAACTGCTAGTTGTATGTATTACTGTGCATCAACCAACCCAGACGAACGTAGTTACAGATCTGAAATCCTCGATTGTGCCAACACTATGTTGTACATTTCACCAGCTGTGCGGAACCCATCCACTGTTGAACATTTAGAATATATAGAAAAATGTTATAATGTTGGTGTCGTAAAAAGACTGAATTTGCTTTTGTTTTCAGTCATTTGGATTGACGAGTTTAATGATGACATACAAGCTTACAAAGCAAATTGTAAATACTTAAAACCTTCAATATTTTCAATACATCAACGTGCTGTAGATATAGGCTTTTTAAATGTTTGGTGGAGCCTTAAAAAAATAATGGTCGACTATGATGTGAACCCGGAAGAATGGAAAGATTACAAAGAACCAGCGTAATCCTATCTATTATACTTGTTATACAATTTGTTTGTTTAGTTTCTTTGTTGGTGATACAATAAATTAATCCTTATTAAGGCTCATGTCACATGTATTTATTTATTATTCCCTTTCTATTTTAAAAGCTGTATATCATTAAATATACGGCTGAAAATAATGTCAAATAAAAAGTTAACAAAGTAAATTTTATAAAATCAAGGTATTAAAAGAATTCTTACTTTAAAGCAGTGCCTGTCTTCCAAACTGATTTGCGAATTGCTATTATTTATTTTTATTGGGTTAGGTTATAACAGCGTCCTCCATAATTTTTACTTTACTCTAAGGGGTCTGGCAGGGCAAAGTTCCTTTAAGGATAGAAAATGCAAAGGTTATTAACTATCAGGTATATTTACAATTTATAATAAAAATATATAATTGAAAATATCTTCAGTTGATAAGTAAAAAATTAAAAACCTTACACTTAGTTAACAAATGTATATAAATTCAAAAATGCCAATAACAATATCAAAGTAACTTAACAATAAATTATAAAAATCAACAAAAGTATTTTTTTTCTGTAGAGGATATTATTACAAATTGTCATTGTTATTCCAAGATATATATTAAACAATTATAAATGTTATGATTGTAGATAATTTAAAAACAACTACCAAAGTACAACAGGATTATATTTATTATCAGTAGTTAAATTTAAATCAAGAAATATGCTATTTTCGCATTAAAATTGTATAAACTCCATTGTTTTTAAAATTTTCAGCTGTACACTAATATACAATTTATTTGATACAATAGAAGACATAATGGTAAAATGGTGTCAACAGTTAAAACAGATTTCAATTAATAAACAAATAATATCTTTGGTTTGGCAATAAATGAATAAAAATTATGTAGTTCAATGGTAACAACAAAAACATTTTAAAAACCTTAATTATAGATTAAAATTTTAAACATGTTTCTTAACATTTTAGAAAATAATATCTCCATAAATTATACTCTATTATGTATTTCCACTTCAACCACAGAACTTGTGCTTGGTATTATATCGTCACTTATATCAGTACTGATACTATCTTCTGTAGTATCTTTTTCTACAAGAATGAAACAAAATAATGTATCAATGTAGTACGTAATAACTAAATTATTAGTGATGAATGATGATATTTAAAACACTTACTGTTTATGTTGATTCTAGTACAGTTTTTACATCTGATTGGATTATCTTGGGATTTCAGTAAATTCTTTGCTGACAAATGCATCATTGTTAAGCCAAACAACCAGTATCCCAAACCATATCCTCCAACGGTGGCAAAAAAAATGTACCCATTGAATGTCATTATAGCGCACATTAAAATGTATCCAACCAACATTTGAAACATGTAAACTCCCAATGTCCTAATGCAACTAGAAGAGAAATCAGAGGAATAAATTATTTTGTTATCTTTTCCGGCATAATTCTCAAGAAAAATGATGTTGAAAATTGAAAGTTGACTACCTATGTCAAATTTGCAGGAATATGATATTTTTAACATTAAATTAATATTGTTTAAAAATTCTACTGGTTTATAGACTATAGAAATATAAAGTAAAACACATACAAATTTACTGTCTACAATAATAGTGTTAATATTTGCATAACAATAGGTAGAACATGTAAATAATTTCTAATATTATTTGTTGTTCTAAGATAAACTTACTCAAAAATTTTCATTCTAAATGTTACCATGAACGGTTCTTTATTAATATATTCCTTGCAATCTGGCTGACTGCAACATAATAGTCGTCGGTGAACCCTCGTCATGAAATGTACAGTTTTCAGTGACTCGAAGACCACCGCCAATGCTATCAAACCAACACATAACGTCACCAACCCTAGTGTAAAGAAAAACAAACAATATTACACAAACCGACTTATAAAAACGTGAGAACCGATGGACAGTGATATACTTACCAATGGTCGATTGCACATTGAAGTTTTTTACAAGGAATGGATCGATGTCCGTCCCAAAAGTAAAGTACATGGTTGTGGTTGATACGTTAATCTTTTTGGGGGGCAGACGGCATACACATAGCGTCGCGGCGTACTGCAACTGTCTAATGCCTACTTATCAATCAGTTACGGTCATTGTAACACTACTTACTGGCGATCCACATGCGAAATACTATCGGCAATCTGCGTAACGCGATTGCATGAATAACACGCAATTGCATAATATTAAATATAATATAAATTGTCAAACCTCCCGAAGTACCGAATTGTAAAGGTAAGTCATAATATTAAATTATACAAAGGAAAAACATAAAATAGTACAATATATTTGTAAATTACATGTTAAACGTTTGCCTTTCAGTTTTAGACTATAATAGAGCAGTAGAGTGTAGAGCACTAGAGCAGTAGAATTACTACTTAATACTTATAATAATAATTGCACTGGTCGGTTACTCGGTTATCAATTAATGATAATCGCACAAAATAAAGAATAATAATAATTTTATAATTCTAGGATCGTTGATAACTGATAACCAACGAACAGCGTTGAACGACGAATAATAATCGAAGTCCCGAATCTTAGAGACTAGAGAAATACCATAGAAATATTCTGTATATAGAATAAGTAGAATACGTCGGACGTATCTTTATTGTAATAAGGCAAGGCAATATGCTTTTTAGTTTTCATTGAGTAATAATATGTCAGATGTCTGATGTTCTGCTGAATACTGATTCATATTTCCACCATGATCATGGTGGACAGTAGACACCACGAATTAAGATTTCTAAATATAATCTAAATATAATCTTAATTCGTGGTAGACACTAATGTCATACACATTACAAATTTCAAGTCTATACTAGTCCCTACTCCTTAGTCTTGGAGGCGTAGTCCCCACTCCCATGATAAAGAAGTCAAGTTGTTAAACACGAATAACGAATTAAGGTATACCTTACTATATTATACCATGGAGTTTATTATATTATAATTTAAAAATAATAAAATCAACATCATGACGTCCTGTTATTGAAGTCTAAAACTCTAAACGCCTGTACCTACCCATGTTGTAACGCCTGTAACCATAGTCCGTAGGACATAGTTTGGACAGTGCCGGCAGAAGGGGGAGTTTCCCGAGTGCGTCCCGAAATGTACATTTTTTAATGTTCCTAGTGCGTCCATAATAAGGTATCATCCGAGTGCGTCCCCAAAAAAAAGGTCATATTTTTTACATAGCCCGAATGCGTCCAGTTCATTTAGAAATACCCAGGGTGCACCACGTGGAGGTGAACTGCCTTACACCCCAAAAATATTATTTTTATTATAATTATTAGAACTAGCTTACACGGTTAAGTTTAGGTTAGCGTACAATTTATTAAAACGTTTTTTGTTATTATTATATATTTATATAAGCTGGTGTTTAAATGCTATTCTTTTGAAAAAATCGAATCTTGTTATTTCATTATTATTAAATTGTTTTATATTGTCTTCGATGTATAATATTTTCTTGCACATACTTTGTTTTGGTTTTTTTTGTTGTTTGTGTGGCCGTTCGGATTGCTATTTTAGTATCGATTTGAATTTTTTTTAATATTTCCAAAAATGTGTATAAAATAACGAGTTGTACTTGGAATGAATGCTTTCACAAGCATTTGTTGTCCTTTCAGAACTTCTATTCATTTTAGCCCACATGGAAATAGGAAATTTTACTCCAGAATCTGTATAATTTTCTATTATATTATCCATAAATTCGTTAAGTTTTTGATGTTTTGGCATTATAAATATAAAATCTTCAATAATATAGTTTTCTGAATCTACTTGATTTAATAATGGTAAGCCAAATATATTAATTAAAATTAATTTCCCACCGTTTCCAGTGTTCAAATATCTTAAATAGATACCTATAGCAACTGTGGACCGAGGACGCACTCGGGCACTGTAATATAATTTGTCGATAAAACGGCGGACGCACTGGGACTATGAAAAAGGTAAAAATTAAAAACGGGACGCACTCGGGATATCCCCGCAGAAGGGGCAGCTGCCCAGGGCCCCGGCATTTTAGGGGACCTCCTCTTTTCGTGGCATTTTATTAAGCCTATAATTTTGTTTTTCGAATTAAAAATACAAGTCCTGTCTGCAGAGGCGGCTTGTGGGTTTTTAATAAAATAATTGGAATACTTATAATAGACGAGTGAGTGTCAAATCAAATCATAATGCCGACGGCGACGTCCATAACAATTTTGATGTTAAAATCTTGAATTTTTTTTAAATTTTTGTGTTTAGTGTACCTACTTGGTGTGCCTAAACATTTAATTTGTACATATTTTCTTTTAATAAATATTGAAAAAATTTGCCCCGGCCCGCAAAACCTCGAGCTGGCGATGTTTGTTTATATTGTTGTACCTATTTCATATTTTCGTTCACTACACTGAGTGTTCGGTCATCCATTGATTTTACCATTGCTCCAAGGGGGTGGCTAACGGGCTTTAGCCCCCCCCTCCAAATGGCTAGCCCCAAAACATATTTTATTAGGTTTATTGACAATTGACATTTGACTTTAAATTATTATAAAAAAAAATATCAATTATCGAAATTTAAACATTAGGGTATAACATAATGTCATAATATTATATTATATTAATACCTGTCATTCCGGGCCCTGGGAGAGACCTCTGTTGTTTATTATTATCGTCGCGACGTCGTTAGTTGGAACTGTGTACTATGTAGGATACCGGAAACGTCTAGATCATTCATTTTTATCGATACAATTTAGTTTATCTCAAACCGCTATGCTTCATATTCTCAGAGAAATCAATGTTCAAACTTCAGAAGTACTCTCAATAATGGGGGAAAAAGGACCAAGGCGTCTCAATTTTATAAGATTGTAAACAAGCTTTAAGATTTCTGTACATATTTCAAAATAAATACTACCTATTAATATTAAAAAATTTTGAATTTAGCCCCCCCCCAAAAAAAAAAAATTCTGGGTGCGCCCCTGCATTGCTCTATAGTCTATGGTATTACATCTTTATTATACATATTATTATTTATTAAACTGTTATAAAGTGACGAATTTTATACATTACAAAAGTGGTGTACCTAATAAACAGGAAACGTGCTTTCTTACACCTTTCTTACAAGTTACAACAGTAACATCGTATTATTCATTTATTCATATATGAATATAAATATATAATTACGACAAATAATAATTATTACATTGTAACAGTTATACCGACATATTATACATTGAACATAAATTGTAAAGGGGTTCAACTCCCCCCCCCTTTAGAAAAATAGAAAATTAAAAAATTTCTAGTTTATTCTAAAATTTAAAAAAAAATTTTTAGACCATTTTTTTTTTAACTGAATAAATAATAAATACTTTATATATCTATATTATGATCGATTTATGTATGTATATATTTATAGTATAGTGCTCAAGGTGGCAAGGTGATGATAGCGTAAACGTATCTTCTCGTCGAATTACGGAGCCTTTCGTACACGTAGAACGGTCATAACTCATAACTCATAACTCATAGATAGAGGGCACTTTTCGTGTGACTTGTGACTGCACAATATTAATATTGTATATTAATATATTATATATATAATATATTTACAATAATATAATTGAAAAAATAAAAATGAAATGCTACCTTCTAATGCATTGGATGCCATCAGGTGTTGTGACCCAATCACATTCCCTAATATATTTATGTTATTAAAAATTTTGTGCTGTCTCCCTGTTTCTACTTCAACACCAGAAAGGTCTTTTTCTGGCTTAAAAAGAATAAAAACCTACCTCAGAAGCAGTATGAAAGAGGTATGTATTATGTATAAACAATAAATTCTAATTAACCTGATTATTTTGATTTCATTTTATTGAATTGTTTGTCAAACAGGATCGTCTCAATGGTTTAGTGTTACTGAGTTATTATAGGAATGTTGTTATCACGCCAGATGAAGTATTAAATGAAATGGCAAAGAAGCCGAGAAAAATTGACTTAGTGTTATAATGAAAATATAATATTTTATTCTCACTATTTTGATGTTTTACTCAATGTAATTTCCTATAGTAATATCCTCTATAAAATTTCTATCTATGGAACTGAACCCTCCCCATAGAAAATTCTTAGCTACGGCCCTGGTATAGTGTCATAGTGACCATTCGACTTACCGAGTGTAAATTGCATTAAATGCCGCTCGTAGTATGAAGTATAATCACACAAAAAATACCTATTTTAAAATTGTCCAGTTAAAAAAAAATATATTTACAGAGAAAACCTTGGTCAGCCAGCCGACGGCTCTATAATATTATGTGTTAACTGTTATAGGGTTCCTATTTATAGCTAATTACTAGTTAGTGTTTGGTTACATAATAAATGTTATATTTTTCAACATAATTATTTAATGCGATTTATAATCAAGAGATATCTACCTTGCCGACAACAGACTATATACCTACTTAATTAACAGAAGGTACTGTACAACGGTTAATTATAGTAAAATTATAATATAAGACTGAAAAGCGATAAAGAATAAAATACAAATTAATAATAAGCATTAACACAGAACAATATTAGTATTAAGTAATAACACGCATTGATACCTATTGCGTATTAACTATTAAGTAGGTAGGTATTTGAGTAATTCGGGAGGTTTGTGACCTTTCGTTATCGAAAACGTTCCGCCGACCTTAAAACTATTTACTACTTATACGGCTATAATACCTAAACTAATTTTCCGATTTCTATTTCGAATAGCCATTACCATTTGCCATTACTTTAGGCACTATAACATTATAGTATTATACTTTAAATAAGGACGTAAGGTACTACTATTTAACTATTATAGTCCTGTTGCACTGCGACTTTCTTTTAGTCTCGCCAACAGTGTGTTAATTGGAGGACACTATGGTCGTTGACGCGTAAGTTGAGGTTGACTACACTAAATAACCAAACAATGTACAAATACAATATGCTACGCAGACACAGATTATATTATATTATATTATATTATAGTTTAATATAATCTGTGATACAGAGTGATTATTTCAACGCGTTAGGCTATAAAACCTATAGGCTACAACAGACGTGTGTTCAATTTTGACAACGATTAAACAATCAAACTGACTATGGTCTAAATGTCCGTGATGATTTTTAACAATGAAAATGAAAATATCTCATAGATTAACGTGACAAACAATACATAACATAATAATATATTATACAACTTTGCGCAACAATCAAATTTGTTAAAAATATTATTTTCGGTTTCTTACATTTTCAAATGACAATCAATGTTTTCTATTTCCTAATGTTTCTGCAGAATATTGAATATAATTTATAAAAAACAAAAAAATATTCATAACTGTAATAAATTAATTATAATAATCTAAGAAGATACCTAGAATACCTAGGTCCTAATTCTCCTAAGGATAACCAAGCAAATCTGTTGTGCTCTAAACTTTATTTCTAAATTATTAAAATGTATTATTAATTAATTAACTATTAGTATTCAACATATTTTTACTACTTGGAAAGAATTTAAAAATTAAATTAAAGAAAACAGTTATATAAAAAAAAATTAATAGTACATTTCGAGTACATACTGAACAATTAGGTTAAAACATTATTTTTAAAAATTTAAAAATTGGGAATAGGAAATATCTTTTACTGAAAAAAAATCACCTTGTATATTATTCACATTCACATAATATAAAATTACTATATTATGATATTGTGAGTGTCCTTCAGACTATTTGTCTATCCAGTTGCCAGTATGATATAAACAAATCCCCACCGAAGCATACAGATTAGAAATGAAATGCTTAACTGCTCTAAAAAAACGTGTCAATATTCATATTTTATTTAATAATCATTAGTAAAAACACCAACCAGAAGCATGAAATGCACAATATTATCAATATCATATAGTATATATTTTAAATAAAATGAAACAACAAAATGTTGTTATCTTTATAAATAAGCAAAAAAGATATCAAAACAATTTGAGCAAATATAAATATATATTACAAATATTATAAATAAATCATTTTTTTTTTCAATTATAATTCAATACTAACAGTAAAAATAAAAGTAGCCATATTTTATATTTAATCAAAATACAAAAGGTACAATAAGAATTTTACTTGTAATATTCTATCAAACAAGATAAAATATTAGTCAGTGAGCACTATTGTCAATCACCTTCCAGGCTTTCAACAAACATTCACTGATTTAAAAATGATAGGATAAAAAAAAATTTATTATCCAGTCATTTTAAATAAGTAAACCCTCGTAGACACTCTGTAGTGTTACAAAATATAAATAATAAAATAACAAAAAGTATCAAAAATATTATCTAACAATTATTATTATCCTGGATTACAAAAGTTTTTTTGATATAATATATATATATATTATAGTTAATACCAGGGCAAAATATTAATATAAATATCACATTTTTTCAATATACATTAAATTTGTACTTTTGAATCTTCTTTAAAAAATCATAATTTGTGTGCAAAAATATAAATGCATTTAAAGATCATTGATTACAAATATAATTAAGTATAAAAATTAACTATTATAAGTATATCTGAAGTTTACATAAACAAACTATTTTAATTGTACTATTATTTTGTACTTTTAAAGTTTTAAATGTCTAAGTAAGTACATATGATCTAGCAAGTGTTAGATGCTAACGATAAAATAAGGTAATTTTAGTAATAATTTTAGATTTACAATTTTTTTATTAAACTGCATTTTAATAGAATGTCTTTATTATATTTGCCTATTTACAGTTCAAAACAATTTCTTTGATCAGTCAATAAAATAAACACAGATTTTAGTATTTATGATAATATTTTATTATTGTCTCTAACTAAGGCAAATAATATTCAATATTAAAAAAATCTTTTGAAGTACTATATTTATTATTTCAGATATTATTTATATGTTTATGAAAAAATAAAAGCTATTTGGAAAAATGTATAGGTATATTTTGAATAATGTTCTATTAAAATAAAGAATACTAAAAAATCATTACATTGAATGATCAATTGTACAATTATTAAACATAATAATTGTGTATTATCTAATTGTTCATATTGATAGCACCATGTTTAGACATAAGTATAACAATTGATATACACAAATGTTAAACATTGCTTTTTCTATGTTAGGTATGTAATATGAAGTTTTTAATACACCTAATAAGTAACCATACAATTTTCAAGTATGTAATCGTTTTACATATATAAACTGTGCATTTTTGGGAATATAAAAATAAACTATTTTAATGCATATAATAATAATTTAATACTGAGAGTCAGAGAAATGCATTGTTTTAGCTATCACTTGGTAAACTCAATTTTACTAACTGTCCAGTGGTATTTACTGCAATATATTTATTTAGTATAGGATTTGTAAAAAACTTATCAACTGTTAATCTTACACTTGCTAGTATTATACCAGACTCAACATCAAGAGTAATTATTTGATTGTCTTCTTTTATTGCTATCCGTGTATCATCTGACGACCAAATCATTGATTGTATGTTATTTACACTTGGATCAAATGTAAAATATTTATGATCATTTAATTTTCTGTCAATACACTATAAAAAAAGGTTTAATATTAAATTATAGGTTATAAACATATTAATTATTATACTTACAACAATATGCTTTTGCCCACCAATAGCAATAAACCTCTTATTGTTTGATATACTGATGGGTGTTACCTCGTGTTCCAAAAATGGTAATGGATACTGGTAAACTAGATTTAAACTCCAATCTGAAGTTAATTGATAAATTTTCAAATAATTGCCATTGTCGACCACAGCTAAATTTGATGCATCAAGCATCAAGCTTCCATTTATTTTAATACAATTTATTTCCAATTTTATTGATGATTTATCACGTAGATTCAATATCTATTTAAAGAAACAACATTTAAATAGTTTAATCATAACAATACTAAAATTAAATTAAAATAAAATAAAATAATATTTATATAATTACATGAATGTCATGAACATTGTACAGCAAGATAACTTTATCATGAAATACAAAACAATTAATTAAATTGTGAACAATCACATCATATTTCTTTTTATTTGACCAAATCTAAAAATAGAAACAAAACAATAATAACTAAGCACTTTATTAAGTCTTTACAAAAATTTGTTTTACCTCTATAGCTTGATCAATTTTTATACTTTGTTTTAGTAAAAACGCTATGGTCAAATCACCACAGTCGAAACAAGCAAAAATTTTTTCTACCAATTGTGAAGTTGTAAATAAATATTCTGATGTTTGAAATTGCATACTGTACACGGATAAATCTTCACAAGCAACAATTATCATTATTTGATCAAAAAATTGATGTGACTGTACTATGGTCAAAGCTAAAACCCTTTCATCAATCATAGACCACTGATCCAAGCCTTCCAAAAGTATCTAGACACATAAAATTAATTAAATATATATTATATTGTAAGTAAAAAATAAAAATTTCATAATGCATTTGAATTTTTAAGTTATGCTCTAAAACCAAAATTAAAACTGTGATGGTATATAATATATAAAATATGTCATGTACTAAAATAACAGCCTAGTAAATGACAGGCACTTAATAACCTTAATAAACCAAAAAAAGTCCCATACACCCAAGGACAAATTCCCATTAAATATTGAAATAATGAAAAAGTCTGTACCATCTATTTGCAATGAATAATATACATTATTCTAAGCACCTTTAAAGTTTAAATTTTATTGCAGATATATTATTCATCTAAGCCCACGATTACACCACCAAGCTGTAAACCAACAAATAATACAATACACAATAATAGATGCAAATCGTTCCATCATCTGTCTTTATAGTACAGGTTTTTCCGAAATCAGATGAGACAGGGAACAACAGTAATTATTTGTCTTCAATAATTTTAAAAATAATTCATTTAAAGAGTATCAGTTACCCACATATATATTATATAGAGTTAAGAATCATCAATTGGGCAATACAATGTTATTAACAAAATAACAATAATACCTAGGTACCGAATTTTGTCAAACATCTTTATAACAATGCATAAAACATTGTTTTTTTAAATAAAAGTTGTTACCAATCTGGTTTAAAATTGTTTGAACTACTTTAA